CCCCCCTGATTTCTTGAATATGTTCCCATCTGGTTACTTGCTGTTGCAATTTATTTGTAAACTATAATCTGTAAAATGCTTTATAGTAGGTAAAATTGGGCCTAATTCTTTAATGCAAAATTTTTAAATGTAAAGAACACCACAAGATGAAGCAATCTACCCACACACCACAATTGTGTAACATCACTGCCTTTGGTCTACACGCCTCCAACAGTGTCTTTACTGCGGCCAAATGGGAGGGCTTTACTCTACACTAGATATCTAATATTGCAATAGACCATGGTCAATCAGGTGGGACTTAAGGTAAACCAACACAATGTGGTAGACCTTCCACTAAACCAGCACCGAAGTATCTTTGCTTTTCTCCTTCCTTTTGTCATTTCTCTTTCCATTCTGCAAAGTGCTCTGACTTAAATAGGCTTACTTTGCAGAATTTATGACAAAGGGGAAACAAGCACAAAATAAACTGCTGTCCATACTGCCTCAGCTGTTCCTTTGGGATACAGTTGTTGGTTTTCTTTGATTGTTTCACTTTTACTCTTTAAAAAAACCTGAGACTCTTCTTTTTCTTTCTATCATTTCTTCTTTCATCGACAGACACAACTCTTAAATTTACCTTCTTTCTTCTGCTATGAAATGTATTTAGCATTGTAGTGATTGTTACTGATTTCAAATCACCTGGAAAATTCTTCCTTTTTTCTTCTGTCTCAAAACCAGTGCCCAGTAGCATTAATAAATAAAGCAGAGAAAAGATAAATGGACAGGTAATTACAGGCGACCAGATGTGATGCTTATGAGCATAAAAGGATACAGCAATTCAAAAAGGAAGGCCAACAGACACAACAGGTAGAACAACCTCAACAACAATTAAGAAAAGCTGAAGTAATTAGAAATGCAGGTAAACTGATGTGGACAAAAAAAATAGAAGAAACATAACTGGGGTTTCTTAGGAGACTGCTGAGAATAAAAAAGAAGAAAAAGAAATCAAATGAGGTCGTACTTGAAGTAGCCCATGTGGGATGCTCACTAATAAAAACAATCAGGAAAAGATAAATGCAGTTTTTGGGACACCTGAATAGACATTAAGGTCTTGAACATCTAGCTCTCACTGACAAAATGGAAGGCAAACGGGTCAGCAGTTGGCCCAGAGCAACCTACTTGAAGAACCTAAACAAATGGGGAAAGATCAGGGTAATGTGGAGTTTTTAAGAGCATCCAAGCAAAGGAATAAATTGAGAAACATGATCGCCGATGCCTGTCGCAGATATGGCATTTGGTGATGATGATGTGTACAAACATACTGATAGACTGATAGATGACTAAAATAGACAAGAAACAGGAGGCAGAAACTTTCTTAGTAATGAAGCATTATACAAAACAATGAACAAAATGTAATCATATCAAAATATTACTTACAAGGCCTTTTCCTGCAGCTCCCCTTTCAGGGGCAGATTTTGCATATCTAGCAGTTTCCAAATGTTTATGCACTTGGTAGGCTCCTGGACCTGGAGTCTCTGAGGCATTCTTGTCGAATCGTTTAGATCTGTTAGCTAGAGATGCTCCGCCCTGGAGAAAGCAATTGAAAAGCACAAATTATATTAATTTTATCTGAAATAACTGAGACCTTAGCAGAAAGAAAAACTGCATACCAACCTAAATACCGCCACACTATTTTTACTCCTTTCAAATCTCAAAGTTATATCCATGAACTACTTCATCAAAGATTTGACAACACTGCAAATCGAAAAGAAAAAGAAAGGAATACAAGTATATGAAATCTTTGACAACAATAATCATCAAAACCTTGAAAATCACACTGACAGAACAAACAATTCTACTTAAAGATATAATGCAATATTTCAAGTGTATAAGAACAAAAAAGAATCATAAGAGGAAATTGTCTTTTATTCAGCATAGAAAGACCATCTACACTTAACTCTGTATTTCCGTGGGAGATAAACCCACTATGCTGGCCCCCTTTTTGGCATTAAATGTAATAAAGACAAAAACCACTATATGGGATATTAAATCAAAACAAGTCAACCTATTTTGATAGTTCTTCATCTAATGAATGAACTCCCGATAAAAGAGATCTGTTTTCAGCAATTGCCGAAAAGTAATTTGACGCCGAAGTTGTCTTAAAGGAATGTGCCCGAGCCGCTGTCAGCGGCTCAACAGCACAGTGGTTCTGACCGCCAGCCGCTAGGAGCGGCTTGTTGGAGATAAAGAGTTTAGATATAATGTTACAAAAAAAAGCAAAGACACCAGTGGATTATCAGAGAAGGAAAAGATGGAAGATGGAAAGATGTGCCAAAGTGTTGAAACGGTGAAGTGACTGAGCGAGTATTGTAACAGGCAACGGGTACAAACAACAGGTATGATTTTTCTACATTTACCTTGACTCCATCCTGAAGCAAGTTGACATCATAATGTCCAGGGCCTGGTGCAGCCACAACCTGATCACTGACATTGAGAAATGTTTCTCTGCTTGACATGGATAAGAATGGGGCATAGCCATCTGGGAAATAAGCAAACATAATACATAAATCAGCGGCAGAGGACATTACTATGAATTCATTAGTAAAGCAAGTAATAAAAGAACAGAAGGAATTCCACCTGAAAAAAAAAAGAAACGGTCAAAAAGGTTGAAAACTTTTTTTTTTTAAAACTAGGATAGAAAAAAACTATTGTCTGCAACTTTTAGACTTCATTGCAAATTATAGTATGGTTTGTAACACCAAATGTTCCATCAGCAATTTCATAAGCAAACCCCATTTCTGCCGTTGGCTGACAAATCTCCTTTTTTTTTCATTTTGGCACCAACATTTTTTATTTGCTAACTCTAATGCCTGATCAGTTAAACTACTTGTGTGAAGAAATCAAATTAAAACTGCGACTAGTTTTTCAATAAATTATAATTAACACTTCAGAATAACTAAATTTTTAAATAATTACCCTGACAAAAAAACTATTTTTTTCGAAACTGCTCCGAAGAAGGGGAGTCGGTGGCCTATACGTTAGGTTCTCAGACTCGCAACCATAAGGTTGTTGGTTCAAATCCCGACAAGGACCCGGCGTTGTGTCCTTTGGAAAGGCACCTTACATGAATTTTCCTCACTTTCCCCTGGTGGGAATGGGTACCTAGCTATAAACAGTATAAGATCTCGTCAGTTTGTTAGTGCTTGAATGCTTAATCAGCTGCTTGCACTGTTTGCTTCTTGTGAAGCTGAGAATGTTTCTGAGTGTTCTTTGGTCTGCTTGGGTAATAATAACATAGTGTAAAGTGCACAGAGCTTGCTGAAGAGCGGGATTATATGCAATACAAATACTATTTATTATTATTTATTATTCAAGAAAAAAAATTGTTTTGTCAGCTGATTTGTCTCGAACCATTGTGTTCACCTTATTTTTAGAATGTCTGATCAGTACTCTCTCATGAGTAGTTTATCAATAAATCCTTTCTACACTAATACTGTACTTATCATAAACACAAAAAAGTAAAACCATTTATAAATAAATCTGAAAGAACAGAAATAAAGTAAAGGTGTGACACTTTATGACAATAAAGATACAAAAATTTAATGCAAAAAAATTGTTAAAACTATCAAATTTAAAGTAAATATTCACCTTGTCTTAGTCTGGTTTTGGTCACAGAGTCTGCATCATAGCTTCCAGGCCCTACAACATTTGGGGTGGACCCAAGTTTGAAGGACAAATCGCGAGGAGCACGGTCATACATTTTGAGTTGAGAAGACGGGCTGAACTTTCACGGACTTTATTTCCACTCTGAAAGCATGCCAAATAAATACATAGAACTAATTCTGTTTATACATTTGCTTTAAACAAATGATTACAAAAATAAGGAAAGCCTAAATGTTGATAGGTCCTTTCAACTCTATGTCTTTTAAGTTAACCAAAAAAGCATTGAAGAGTTTTTTTCCTTCTTATTCTGCTTTTACACTCCTATCACACAATGAATGAATGCGTGTATGCTTGAAAGGGCATAAGTGTGTATGTTTTTGTTCATGTGTGTGTGCGTGTGCATGTGTGTGTGTGTGTGTGTGTGTGTGTGTGAGAGTGCGTGTGTGTGTGTGTGTGTGTGTGTGTGTGTGTGTGTGTGTGTGTGTGTGTGTGTGTGTGTGTGTGTGTGTGTGTGTGTGTGTGGGTGTGTGTGCATATCTCTCTCTCGCTCTCTTCTCTCTCTCTCTCTCTCTTGCTCTCCTCTCTCTCTCTCTCTCTCTCTCTCTCTATCTGTATGTGTGTGTGTGTGTGTGTGTGTGTGTGTGTGTGTGTGTGTGTGTGTGTGTGTGTGTGTGTGTGTGAATGTGGGGGTGTGGGGGTGTGTGTGTATGCCTGTGTTTCTGGATCTCTAAGTATACATGTGCAGCACTCACACTTTTACACACACATTAATCTCTATCTTAATAAAAGTTAATTCGTAGGCAATGTAGATCTATCTTATATGCTATAAAGCAAATTTTTAAAAAAAAGTAAAAAACAGCCAAGTCTACCACCACCTGGATACCTAAAAACACACACATGTCTGTATACTAGAAAGGAACATTCTTAACCTCCTAAAGACCAAAACCAGAATATCTGTAGGCTGTAGGCCTATGCCTATATGATGATAATATCCTCTTTCATAGTGTTTTGTTCTATACTGTACGACATTAGGCCTATCTATTTTCATATTTTCTTCTCCTTAACTTATGTATGAGTGAGTATGCACGTACATATATGTGTGTGCCCTTTAACTGCTTTGCAATCAAAAGATAAGGTTGCACTGTAAGCAAAACACAACTTATTTTTGTGAAGGGAAGTTTGTTCCTAGAAATTGTTTGTAACTGTATCTCTTATCTTTTTCAAAAACACTCTTTGCCTGGAAACACATTAAACAGGTAAACTATAATGTAAACGATACCAAACCAACACAACTAAGCGCTCAACATGTGATAATAACAACTTACCTCACTCCCGATGAAGCTTCTACTCCGATTTGGAGGCGACGTCCGCCATGATGATTATTCCGTTACCACTGGAAACGAACTTCCGTGCGCAAAAGGGATCGATAAAGCTATGTCGCAAAGCCCTCCCTTTCCCGTTGCTCATGAGCATTTTTATGAATAAGATTTTATTTCAGTTCGAAAATATCTACTAGATCTAGTAACATTACTAACTGTTATATAATCTAAAATATTCACTCTTGATGAAAAACTAATTAAACTCGATAAAATACATTCTCTTTACGACAGCCGTGAATAGAATTGTGTCAACAACAACACATGAGACGGGAGTTTGTGCTTTCCGTTTCATCGTTGGAGAGAGACTGAGACGTTTGCATCAACAACTGTTATACCTTTTCATCGACACGGCAAGTTAATGCTTTCACATTTAGAGTAAATTTGTGGAAAAGCCCATTCTTATCCCACAGTAATGCCAAAGCTTCATTCTTCGGGGCTACTGCTGTTACTTTGGTGCTGTAAAGTGCCGGCTAAGCATCAGTACATCTTGTGTGTAGGCTGCTAGACTGGAGTAGAGTGGTTAACAACTACGGCTGAGCCGGCATACGTTCGCTGATGTGGTTGTCTTGAACTACACATTCCTATCTCCCATGACCTAGATAATAATACGGTAGCTGGAGGTTAATGAAACGATTTTTCTTGGTTTATTTAAAAGTTTATTAAGCTCTAAAATGAGTTGTTTGAAAATGGTAAAGTCAAAGTACAGTGCCAGCGTTTTACTTCTATTCTACACTTGAGCACATTTTAAAAATTCACTGAACCTGAAATGAGGCGTACAGTTATTTTAAATTGCAATTGACATTTTTTGCTCAACCCAATGAATAAGATTGTTGCTTTCTTCTTCTTCTTCTTCTTCTTCTTCTTCTTCTTCTTCTTCTTCTTCTTCTTCTCCTTCTCCTTCTCCTTCTTCTTCTTCTTCTTCTTCTTCTTCTTCTTCTTCTTCTATTCTATTCTTGTGGCATGATTGTAACAACAAAAGTATGTTCCTTATTTTCAGAGAGAAGTTATTTCAAATCACATCATGGTTCAGACAAGATCCTCTGCACAATCTAGAGACAAGGAAATTCATGTTGTAACAGGTGGCGGTGGCTTTCCCGGATTTTCATTAGCAAAGTATCTGGCACGAAAAGGCCATCACGTGAAGCTCATCGATGTCAAGGAACCAGTGTGGGATCTTGAAGCAAACATGGAATTCATAAAGGTAAAAAATAATATATTACATAGATCTAACTAAAACCCCGATACATAAATGTCGGCCTAGCTATTCAATGTCTTTCTGTTGGATGTACTGGCAATTGACTTTTCTACCTTGAATTATCTAGTCCAACTGTAATTCTAATCCAAGAATTTTAGCTGATTGTTTTTCAACTCCCAAAACTGGTCAGTTGTTTTTACATTTAAATTACTTTTCATTTTCATTCAACTTTCAGTTCATTATTTGAAATCTACTCTAGATCTAATTGTGTGAGTATAGAATAAAGTATAAACAACGGAGTCCACTTAAACTGAAATCTGCAAGACCAATAGATTTTCTTTGGTTTAGCCATGTTTTCTGTTTAGTTAGAAATTGCTCAAATAGTGATAATTATCAATAACATAGAGTCGAAAATGCCATGTTTACAGCAAATTTCACTTTAGGAAAATTTTTCCCCTCATCCACCTTTTTTTATATACATTTAGGCTGTAGGTTGTTAACATTTTGCTTTTTTATCTTCAACGTTGCCGAGTTACTCGATCTGCAAAACAGTATACAGAAGAGATGAAAGAGTAGAGAGAGAAGTGAGAAATTAAGCCCACTACCCAGGGGCGTCAAGAAACACACCACTGCCATTATGTGCTCATGTGTAGGGACTATATGTAAACTAACTTCGCAGAGACAATAGGCCATGGCCAACCGAAAGTCGCACGACAAACGTATTCGTTTTACTTGGCCTATACACAATGTGTAGGCCTATCGATGAGGGTGATGAAATCTCTGTTGGCCACATTTGACACACATGTCTCTTTCTCCTGTTTTGCTGTCTTGAAGCTCATAAGACTTTATGAATTGCGTTATGTGAGGTTTGCTAGTGAAAATTTAGTGGACATAACGCTCAAAGTTCTTTTCAGTTTAGAAATGTAAGCATTGATTTATAGTTTTCTTCCAAAGACCAAAAAGAAAAAAATCAGGAATTTTCTATCTTTTGCTTTTCCACTATTGTCAAATTAACCATGTTCCGTTTAAGCAGACTCCACTGTAAATGAGTATGTGGCATCAGTTAAGTTGATGTTTCCAGCTTTTTGCAGTGAACAGAAAGATATGTTGATCTTTCATTAAAGAAAGAACTTGATTATGTTTATGCAGTGTTGTGGTACAGTGCATTTGAGTGATGTAGGAAAAAACATTTTGACTCACCTATTGGTGGCTTGTTCCTCCATCAAAAGCAAAAAGCAAATACATAGCTGATTTACTCTCCATAGTAATACATGTTCAGGAAAACTGTTTTTCCATATATTTGATTGTGTGATCTAGTTCCTTGCTACACCTTGGAAGGAGAAGTTCTCTTTGATCATCCAGGTTTCTTTTTCCATTTGGAGTTGAAAGGTTCTGTTGATTAAAAAGAAAACGAGTTAGATAAACATAGTAGTAGAAAATGAACAAAATTCAAATATTTTAAGGAAGTGGTGGAATCAGGCGCTCAGTTTTTGGGCAAGTGGACTTATTGATATCATCTGAAAGCTTATTCATTAGCCTTGCTGTCAGTGAAAAAATATCCATCTAGCTTGAATAGAAGTCAAGATATTTGCGATTGAAGGAGGTGAGGTAGCCTGGTTTCAGTGATTAAATTAATGAGAAAATGGCTTCCAAAATTTTGTAACTTCAATTGCTTACGAGTCCTTGAAAACTAAAAATTACATATTTTGTGCCTTTACATAAGGGTTTCCAATAAAAAATTTATATGAAAATGTGTTTTCATATGAACAAAAAAAGTGTTTAGCCAAAAAACAAAATTTAGATAGAAATTGCCAAAATGGTGGAAAAGTGCCAGTTTCTTCTATTTCATTATATTGACGAGCGCCTGATTTCAACACAATGCCTCACAAACGACAAATTTGATGAGAAGGTTAACTTGAAGCAATATGTAAATACTAATTGTGCTGCCAGTCATTGTTTTGTGTTGTTTTTTTTGTCTTCTTCAGATTCAAGCCCTGGTTCTCAACACTGTATTTTAGAAATATGTTATAAGACTTATTTGACTTCTTAACAATTAATTTCTTACTGTAGATGTTATATGTTGTAAAACAAAGATTCCCCTCACCCCCTACCCCGTCCTCATCAACTGGCGAAAAGCTTTCCCTTATCCACCTTCTCTTCTTTCTTCCTCTTATTCCTCTTTATCAGTCCTCTACCCCTGCAAACATGCCATGTATAAATACATTTTACTTCCTTTTTCTCTTATATATTGTCATTTCTTATTTTCCTTTTGAATGCCAGTATCCAATGAAAATTTACAGTGTCACATAAGATTGAGAATTGAATGAATTGATGTTTTACAAATCTATTTGACATTAAATTTCTAGTGCAAAGCCAACATAGGAAGGAAACGGATGAGGAAAGAAATGCATTGAATATATCAGGGGGAAAAGGAAGTGAAACATGATTGTGGTCTGAGTGGTTTATGTTACCTCCTCTTCCCTCTGTAGGTTACTAATATCCTGCAAGTAGCATCGTTCACCTTTACCGAGGAAAGTGAAAAAAATGCTTGACATTCTCTGAACATTTGGTTTGCATAGGAAGCACAATCCAAAGAGATATTTATTTAAAAAGGCTGAATACAAAAGGAGATCTCTTCTTCGGGACTGATTCACTTTGCCTTAATGCCTCGAAATTGCATCCGTAATGATAACTATGAAGCAAAAGCCATGTCGCAAAAGCCTCTTCCCTTTTGGTGATGTTATCTTTGTACACACTTTGATCTTTCCTTTGATTTTGTTTGTTGTTGTTTTTTTTTGTTTTTTAATTTCTTCTCTTCATTTAGAGCATTTTATACTTTGTAGTTTGAATTTGTTGGTTTGGTTTGATAATTTTTGGGTTTGATTTTGATAACTTGTGAACCAGAAATAAAATACTTAACTTAAGTGAAGGAGATATCAATCAACCCAAAATTGTACACACATGCACAGTCACATGTATTCTCAGTATCACATGTGTTTTCTTGAATTGACTGAGACGCATTGTTTTTTATTCTTCATAGTTTTTATTGTGTGATTAAATTAATCTTAAATGATTTATGTTAAGCCTTTTTATTCATAGGAGTCGCAAAATATGCTTTGATGACTTTTTTGTTTCTTTCAACTGTTTTTTCCTTGTTAATGGTTCTTCGTCCATTTCATTTACTTTTTGTTTAGAGTTTGTATATTATTTAGATTATTGTACTTTTTTACAACTCCATGTCTACTGCTGAAAATTCTCAGGTGTTCATTTCCATTTTCTTTGCAATTAGCCTAAATATGGTATCGATTCTGGAAGCCAATAGCTCTGTTTGAAATTTGAAAGTGCTGTCTTGCTTTCTTACTTTTTCCCTGTTTTGTTATGAATCTTACTGTTTGAACTCCTAATAGAACCACTTTATTCTAAATTAAATCCTTGTTTTTGTTTCTAATTATCTTTTTGGTCTAAATTTAATTTCCTTGTTAAGATTTGTCTCGTTTTCTCTTTTCCCAAGATGCTGTGTTTTTTGGAGTTTATGTTCCAAATTAACATTACTATATGGTATTTCATGTATCTTGAGTTTCCATAGTGCTTCATCAATGTTTTTTTCTCCATAATATTATGACGTTCCTTTTCAGCTCTCCCAAAGCTTGAATGCAGTTCATTTTTACTAATTATGAACGTCTCTCAGATTGTTGAAAGTAATATAATTATGTATACAATAGGCGTTACAATTGTTATGAATATAGATATCCCGTCTACCCTGTAATATTCAATATTTTTGTTAATCAGATAATGACTAACTGATCTTGATTGTCTTGTGTGAAGTGCGCTTGCTTTTTCTTTTTTTATACATGTATGTAGCCAATGCTGTCTCAAATCAATATCAATGAAAGTAAAGTAATCTGTTTGCACCATTTTTTTTCATGGTAGCTAATGATGCCGTGTTGTTATACATGAAATATCATATAAATTGCAGGTGATCTGAAGGCGCCACTGGTAAATCCTACTTCTGTTTTCCCCTCTGTAACTTTGCCTGTCTGTCTTGCATTTCCTTGCACTATATGACCGTTATCGTGTCGATGTGCTTCTCTTTGCTCAAACAAACAAACCAAGAATCAAAATACATATATAAGTAAATCATAGTTAATCGTGGCTCTTCCCACGTCCCCAGGGTAGTATCTGTGATGACAACCAACTGCAGAGCGTGGTGGAGGGCGCCAGTGCAGTCTACCACATGGCGTCCTACGGCATGTCAGGCCGAGAGCAGGTTGGACATCATCCCTCTCTCCCTCTCCACAATCGCATAGCTTTTGACATCATTTGCTTTCTCTCCATGACATCTTGTGCTATCTTTTTCATCATCTCCACCACCCCCACCCCTCCTTTTTTTTCCAACCTCCATTTTGTCCCTTCCCAAATTTCTGGATCAGTTTCTGAAATAGTGTGCTCTCACTAATTGCCACACACATGTGCACTCACGGATTCACACACGCCTTACTCATGATACACACAACTGCTCATTCACTTTCTCTTTTACTCTCTCTTTTTCTAGCCCCCCC